ATCCCAGCATTTCCCTGGAGGGGCTGAGAAAAACCATGAGAAAGGCAGGATAGCTGTAGTCCTGGCCAAGACCTGAAATGAGCACTTCTGAGATAGAAGTCTGGAGCATTATCTTCATTATCTCTAGAAAAGGGGCTCTCAAACTATGTGATACCATGACCCCCTAAAATAATACACGAATTTATGGGAACCCCACTGTGCCAGTGAGGATGAGGTTGCTGCAATAGCTGTATAGCCTCTCTGTACCTACAGACAGCTACAGACACACTGCTGTTGGCAAATGCACCTGCTCACAAACTCAGTGTATGCTACACTCTGTAGGTTAACACATATGTACATATTATCATAAAAGAGACAACCCTGAAAATGGCCTAAGAGCTGAAACATGGGCTTTTTGTTCATACGGATATCATCATTATGATCAGTGTATTTTGATGCTTCTGGTATATGCAGGTACTGAATGGAACAGACTGTCTCATTTCCTGCCATGCCATTATACCTGCACCACAAAATCTGGATTTTGAACTTACTACATTCAAAATGGAAGTGTATGAGAACATGCAGGAAAACTTAATTCAAGGGAAATTAAATGGGGGCTGTATACACCTGAGGGCTATTCAGAAATTAACCACCATTAATTTTAGGCAACTAAAAGCAGGAGAAAGCTCACGCATGCAAAGTAGCATCACATGACTCATTTCCTTGTAAACCGTCGCATAACTGCTCACTTAGTGTTTTCTCTTGTCTCTACAGAGTAAGTTATGATGTGTCCTGCAATTGCAAATCCTGACAGCTACAAAATTTGTGCTGTTATCTGCTTTCTTCATGCTAAAATCATGAGTGCTGTGGAAATCCATTGTGAATTACATGTGGTTTACTGCCAAGGAACTGTAAGACAATGGTATAGAATGTTCTGAGTTGGATGAATAAATGTTTACAAGGAGGAGTGAAGTGGTTGGCACTTGTAGTGTGTGATGATCTTGTTCAAAGTACTGACCAAAAAATTTCACAATTTCAGAACTTTCATGTGAACTGCCACTAGGGTGACCAACTTTCGGTCATGAATTTAAGGGAGATTTAGTGACGACAAATTTTGTGCATTTCTAGCGGTGCGGCATCAGTGCAGCAAACGTTCATGGAATGGATAATGTTAAATAAAACAATTAATTTACATTGTATATAATTTTCTTTTTCCTGTGGAGCTACAGCCCCAATTTGGGCCTAGGCCTACCTCCATGAAACTCTCCGTTTCACTTCGGTTTACTAGATCTTAAACATTCGGTAGGACTCCTTGGGCTGGTGATCAGCTCGTCACAAGGCCTCTACCTGCACACAAACACAGAAAAACGCACATACACAAACACTAAACATCCATGCCCTGAGTAGGATTCGAATTTACATATTATGACCAGTTATGTCATCCCAGTTACTGTAGATCTGTGTCCTCGTGTGGAAACACTGTGAAATACATAACAGAAAGACATAGTAGAAACAGGCTAAACAATTTATTTTGTTTAAATTTATATGAAAATATGAATGATTTATGAGGAAAGAGTACTTTCTTCTGGGTAATAACACTGTGCAGTCTTGCATATCGTCACCATTTTGGAGAGACCTGCTTCCTCCACAGTCAGGATAGAAGAGCAGACCACATGTGCAAACAAACGGTACATATATACAGAGAAAATGGCTCCCACTGATCCAAACAGTGTAAAAAATAGTGATCCTCTCTCTCCTTATACCTGTACCATTTTTTCCACACTTACTGCACTCTTCTAGTCTGACAATGGAGACAGCAGGAACACCAACACACCTGTAACAATCTACATCACAACATGGTATCACATCGCAGGAAGTCAAAAGTGCTCACAGTCACCACTGTCAGAACCTCAAATCACACTTTGTCATTACAGGATTTCCATTCACACACAAATGGAACTGCATGAATAATCTGGAGACAGTTTATCAAACTCACCCTCTCTATGAAGACTGGGTACATTGAATGTGTCCCAGTAAATCCAGTGACATCAGGATCAATTTCCACATGATATGAAATAGTACAATTAGATGAATGAATTCTCCTATTTGAGCACACCATGAAGAATCACAGATTCAGTTTGGTGACACCACAGTTATCCTGGACATAGACATAAAGAAAAATATTCAAGTGCATCAGCCAGAAACAAACCCAATCCATGCAGCCAGTAGCCAACTATTTCCTGACCCCTGACGCAAATCAAAGAATGCGTACAAGATACTGTCTGTGCCTTTATTCCTGCCTGCCCTCAACGGAGCATGCAGTGGATTCTGGCGGGTCCACTATGGTAAGGAATGAAGGGTGTGTATGTATTATAACAAGATCTTAGTCACGGTGAAACACACTTCCCCCATCCCACAGTGCAACTGCAACCACTGTCCTGCTACTTCAGGCCATACTCCCCTTACTTTTCATTATGCCCACTCCACAGGCTGAGTCTATGGGTGTATATATTATCTCAAAAATATTTTGTAATTTTGGCCAAGCTTCTGTGCGGGGCAGCCCTGACCACAGAGCAAGTTATCGCATTCTGAGGGCTGAAGGTGTGGGCTTTATTGCCAACTCAGCACCCTTCTGGTTACTGAAATGTGCAGTATTATAAAGTGTTCCTCAGTTTAACAGCTTTCCTCAATTAACGTTTAGAGTGGAGTTGCATCTTACATCTTACTCAATTGCCATTAAGTACATACTTTTGTATATAACTTCTAATCTGTATGCATGCAATGTATAACAGAATATATACAAACAAAATATAGAGTAACTTTATTATTAGTTACATAAAGAACAGAAACAGAGAGATGGAAGACTGAAAGAATAAAAAACAAATACAATAAACCTGAACTGACCCTTCATCCTGGATATTCTGATGACTTGTATTCACTCCTGGCTTACGGTCACCGAGTGGCATGGCATATGGAAACGTGCAATCCTGATGGGGGGGAGCAATAGCGACCAGAGTAACTTGCTGCCTCCACCTTCCATGCAGATTCTTCTCAAAAGACAGTGCCTGTGCAGTAAACTGTGTTGAGGCACATCCCAGAAGACTTCAATTTTAATTCTGCAATTCCTTTTTGATTACTGGTTTTCATCTTGGTCCGGCAATGACAGCAGGAAAACCTTAAGGCCCGCAGTGTGACAGTTCAGACAGTCTTTTTATAGCCTTTCAGTTCATTACACATTTCCTCTGTTGCTTGCCAAGTAACATGAGCACTGATATATTAAGTTGTGTGATAAGAGACATTGCTTATATACTGTGATATGGCAGTCATATCCCACACATTTCACTCACTGTATAAGATGTCTACAGAGTTTCTGTGGGCATGTCTTCAGTAGGTAACCTTACAAAAATCCTGTGTCCTGTGTATTCAAGATGGCCTACATGTTGAAAATACAATCTGGTAACATCATAATGATGACATAATGATTTACATCAGGGATCTCAAAAGTTTTCGAACTGCGGGCCACATTAGGTAATTCAGCACTTTCAATGGGCCAGATAAAATGAGAAATTAATAACTCTAGGTATATGAGTCTTATTGAAAGCACAGAATTTCATAAACTAAATACAAATTATGTGAGAATAAATTATCGTATATTAATGACGAGACAGTAGCAGCAAATGCTCATATTTTCATCACAAATTATATTAAAATAATTAATGTGAATGATGGAACTCTTTTTGCATTCTTAAAACCTGATTAAATTGAGGTTCAAATTTTGAAACGCTAATCACAAGTAGCGACTTTAAATGTTCATCGGATAAATTTGCCCAGTATTTCGACTTGATGTACTTCATCTGGGAAAAAGTTTCGCACAGATATGTCGTCCCAAAAATGGAGATAAATTTACAAGCAAATTTCTTTAAATTTGGAAATTGCTCAGAGTTCAGAAATTTATAAAATTCAATCAAATTTCCTTCCTTGTATTTGTCTTTAATATGATAATTTTCCTGAAGTTCAATAATTTCCATTTGAATTTGACTTGGGACATCTGCAGCATCACAGTCAAACAGATTTTGAAACAATCTAATTTCCTGAGCACTGGAATCCAAATCAGCAAATCGCTTCCGAAATTGTTCTTTCAAACCTGAAATGACTAAATTTGCAAACGAGGAAGGAAATTCTGCTTCACCCTTTTTATGCAACTCTGCACAGTATAGGATATGAACAAAGTTACAATTTTTCACTTGGCTTTCCAGAAGTATCACCTTCGCTCTGAATGCCTTGATAAGTGCAAATAAATCATAGACTACGTTATTTTCACCCTGCAACTTTAAATTCAAATGATTCATATGGTTCACCAGATCAGCAAAACTGCTAATTTTCAAAGCCACTTGGCATCTGATAAAAGTGGTTCGTGATGGTTTTTCTTGGTAAGAAATATATCAATTTCATTCCTGAGCTGAAAGAAGCGCAAAAGAACGTTTCCACAGCTAAGCCATTGAACTGCAGTATAATATGTCAGGTCAATAAGCTTGGAATCACATTTACCAGTACTCATTGGAAAATTAGTTCAACTGGTGCATTTCTGCACAATTCTTTTGCAGGCCGGAGTTTGGAGACCCTTGATCTACATCATTATCTGATGGCACCCTGAGAGATGTTCACACAGCAGGAAGCAAAACAAAGCAGCTCTTTCTAATTTACAGTATTTTTATCATCAATCTTGACATTTCAAGTTTCAATGTGCTGTTGTGTTACAGTTCTTTATAAACAATTGGAACTGCATATGGGATGCAATATACACAAACATGGTGTACATATAAAATGACTACATATTGGAATTCACTGTTTATGTATTCATGACACCACATACAGCTGGGGCATGGCAAGGCCCACATCTGCAAAATGAGAGCAATGGGAAAGGAGCACAGCTGGTCTTGGGCACAAAGGTTCAGCATTTTACTCCTACCCCTTTTAATGAAGCTTGTTAAAAATGGTGATACAATATAGCGAACATCACATTTCCAGTCACAATAGTGACAACCATATGCATGAAGCCTGCCCTCTCTATTTGCTCCTCTTGACAGATGGACGTTCAAAAACCTGCTTCATGCCTGCAGCCTGGTTGTTGTGGAACTTGAGATTCTGAGCAGTCTCCGATATCCACGGGGAGTCAAACTGTGTAGTGTCTTGGTCCACAAGGTGAGTGAATTTGGTGCAACCACTGCGCCCAAAGTTCTTCACCTGCATCACCTTTGGCAGAATGGTCTTGTCAAAGTGATCCTCCAGTGTCGCGGCCGAGAAGTCTCTCTTATACAGGTCATCATCCTGATTCTGCAAGTATATGCAACATGCATCACAGCAAGATGGCTCACTGTAACTGGCAGCCACACTGACAGTCAAAACATACTCTACACAGTTACTGATATCTTCACAACTCACCATGAAGAAAGTACCACGGTGATAGTACTTCTGCAGGAACTTCTATTTGCCCTTCGTTGCTTTGTTAGTGACAAACTTGGGGTTGTTCCTAAGCTCTTGCCGCCTCTCCTCTTCTGTCATGTTGCGCAGCCGTTCTATTTCCAGTCGTTCCCGTTCTATCCTGAAAGCACAGATAGGATGTGCAATAACCAAAATATTGAATCTCAAACGTTTTGTCTGTCTGATATTGGTAAAACTTACTGTTCTCTCTCCTCACGATCCCGTTTGATTCGCTTCAGCTCACGCAGTTTCCAAGCCTCATATTCCACCTCATCGTTCTCATCATCTGTGTTAACATCATGTAAGGATGGTTCATCACCATCCTTCACGGATGTCTCCTTCCGTATATCTTCTTCTACCATCTGGTGACATAAGAGAAGCAGTGCTCAGTTAAGAATCTCTCGGCAGAGTCTAAAATGGTGGCTGGTCACAGTGGGCCTTGTATGGGCTCAAACCCCGTGTGGGTTTAGTTAAGCTTGCCGGGCCCGTGTGGCCAGATGACGAACGTGTCGTTCACGTAGCGAAACCAGCAGCCGGACTTGTTTGGGGGAAAGTCAAGTGCCCTCTCCTCGAAGTCCTCCATATATAAGTTTGCGATGACCGGAGACAGTGGCGAACCCATCGCCACACCATCGGTTTGTTGGTAGAACGGGACATTGAAGATGAAGTATGAGGTGGTCAGGACATGGCGGAAAAGTCTCAAGATATCTTCTTCGAAAGGTCGTCCTAGCAGATCCATAGTATCTTCTATAGGCACCCTGGTGAAGAGCGACACTACATCGAAACTGCATTATGTCATGGGGATCGACATGGAAAGAACACAAGCTGTGGATAAATTCCATTGAGTTACTCTTGTGGTGTAGACAGTTGACCATGTTGTTGCTCAGTAGTCCAGCCGAGTGTTTGGCCAAGAGGTAGGTGGGAGAGGCAAATGTGCTCGCAATGGGCCATAATGGAACGTCAGGCTTGTGGACCTTCGGCAACCCGTAGAGTCTAGGTGGTCTGGAACCTTGAGGTTGTAGCTGTTGGCAGACCTCTTCAGCAATCGGGGACGTTTTCATGAGAAGAACAGCATTGCGCTCTATGGCATCAGTAGGATCCTTCAACTTCTTGTAGGCCTTGTTCTCCAAGAGAGCGGCGAACTTCCGGTTGTAGTGCGACGTATCCAGTACCACGGCTGCATTACCCTTGTCAGCCGGAAGGACGGTGAGCGCCTCATTGGCTTTCAAGGACCGAAGGGCTCTCCTCTCGGCACCAGTCAGGTTGTCCTTCGGTTTGCGGGAGTTTTTGAGGATCCTGACCGTCTCTTGTCTGATCTCCTCCACAGTCTCTTCATGCAGGGCCATTATTGCCTTCTCCACCCCGCACAAGAAATCCTTGACGGGGACGGACACTGGAGCCACAGCAAAGTTGTAGGCCTTGCTTAGGGCCGAGCAAGCCGCTTCTTCCAATGGCACTTCACTCAGACTGACTAGTCTTCTTGCTGTCAAGGGGGCCGGATGGTTGCTGGGCCTCATGCAAACGTTGAAACTTCCTGTAGTGTCTGGCTCTTACGTCATTAGCAATGCGTAAAGCCTTCTCACTTGTGATGCGGTCGATCAGATCCCAGTTTTCGGCGGACAAGTCCTGGGTCAAGCGAAGATGTAATAAAAACAGTTCTCTGGAAATAGCGTCCAGCTGCCGTCTGGTGTGATAGATGCATTCACGGAGCAAACTGAAGCTAGTAGTCTATAGATCCTGTTGGCAGCGTCAGAGTTTATATAGTGCTTCAACTGAAGGAAACGAGGGATATGTTGTGGTCTCTGAATCTAAGAAGGAAGGGGAGGGTACAGAGTAGCTTGGTCTTCTTGGTTCGTAGCGTCTCGAGTCGTCGAATGTGTCGTTGAGTAGCCTCCCCATAGAGGAACACTATGTCAGATTTGAGGTTTTCAAGGCAGCGACTATGAAGAAAGCCGTCTTCTGAGATGAGGCGCCGTGTAGAACTTGTGTTACCCGACGTTTCGGCGGAACCTATCGCCTCCATTTTCAGCGTAAAAGAGAAGACGAAATCCGCGAGCGAACCAGCAGAGCAGGTGGAATAGATTCAATCCAGTCGAGTAAACACAGCTATATAAGAAAAGGAGAGAAGGAGCTGGGTACATATGGAGCTACAAGTGAGCTGTTGCTGAACACAGTATCGATTTGGGACACCGCATTCAGCTTCAGAATACCTCCATCCTCGCTACCAAGACCCGTTATATGGATCGAATCATTAGGGAGGCCATTGAGATTGAACTCCATTCCGACAATATGAACATAGAGGTTGGGGTTTGTCTCAGCAAGTCATGGAAGCCTCTCATCTGTTCCTTCAACTAACCTCCGAAATACGGCAGACCTGTAGGCCACTCAGGTCCATCGCAACCATTTAATATTCCCTTCTCTCCCCCTAACACATACTCTATACCAGCTCTGGCACACTACCTGCTGGCTATTCCACCAGACCCTTCCCCTCCCCCTCTTTACTATTTGCCTATGTAGCCACACTCCCTCTCTCCTTCTCTTATACAGCTGTGTTTTCTCGACTGGACTCAGTCTGTTGCACCTACTCTGCTGGTTCGCTCGCGGATTTCATCTTGTCTTCTACCCTGTAGATGGGGGCGATACGTTCCTCGTTCGCTTCTCGTGTCTTAGGGGAAGTTGGATTACAAGGCGTATAGCCTCCTCTGTGGCTAAGACTGCGACTTGGGCCGATGCATAGAATACATGTAGATTCTCTGGCTTCAAGGCTGTGATAAATGAATAGCCTTGCTCTAATTGGACATAAATGTCGCGTAAAATCGCGAACAACTTATGAGATGGTAAC